TTTCTGGGAGACAAGCATGTTCTGAGCGTGTTCTGGATGGGGAGGGAGGAGCAGTCACTGCTGTCAGACATGGGTTCTTGTGGGGAGAGGAGTGTCCGGGAGCCAGATGGAGGTGACGGGTGGACGGCCCGGTGGATGGATTGACTGCCGACCAGTGCCCTGCACTCATGAGGCGTGGCTATTGCCGTGTGAATCACATCTCCATGGAAACGGGGGTGGGAGAACCAGGCCCCAAGGCTGTTGTGAAGATGGCCTTATGGGGCTGCATTGGCGCCTCGGGCAGTGCTAACCGCCGGCCGTGCTCGGTGAACAAGAGCCACAGTCATCACCCTTGCCACGCAGAGCAGCTCCTTCTGCAGACTTGGGGACCCTGTGGCCACCAGGCCCCACGGTGGGAGCAGAGTTACCTCCGAAACTCCGGAGACCCACAGGCAGAGGAGGATTCCATGAGGCCGGGGCCCGTCAGCAGATCCTCAGACGGCAACACACACCACTTCCCTTTCTGTTTCCTAGACCTTTAACTGATGGAATTCAGTAAGCGGAAAACATGCTTGACAAGGGCACCATGGAGCGGACCTTCCCCTCTCCCTCGTGGAGGGCTCGACCCTGGGGCCGGTGACCCTTCTCGCTTTGCAGGCAGGGGCTGGAGCTGGAGCTTCCACAAACAGGCCAGGCTGGGATTAGCCCGGCTGTACATTCGCTTTACGCTTCCGTTGGCATTTAGATACCCGATGTTCATATTTTCTGTATTACGTGAAGTAGGAGGAAACGTTCCTTTGTGCTTAGAGCAGTGTTTCCACAGAGGTGCCGGGCCCAGGGCACAGCAGCCAACCTCTGCAGACATTTCGTGTTGTCATGAGGCGGAGTGTCCAGGAGGGGGCGCTGCTGCATCCGCTGGGCACAGGACACGGCCAGATCAAAGGACCCCACCTGCAAAACACATCCCAAGCCTCCCTCCTCCTCTCCAGCCCAGAGTCAGGGCTGTCCCTCCTCCCTCCTGCGACACATCCCTCCTCCCTCCTGGGACACATTCCTCCTCCCTCCACGGGACACATCCCTCCTCCCT